AAAAAAAAAAAAAAAACAGCATAAGAGGCTCTGCAGTTCTGAAGTACAAGAGATTAGGTTGCAGATTATTTATTTATCCGGAGAAAGTTTCTCCAGAAACTTACATTGTGTATGATCGTTTAGGGGACTAAATTGCCGGTCAAGCGTGAGCTAATGAAAATAAGGCAGAATCTGTTGTGGACTGACAGGGGGCCTATAAATATTGCCAATAAAACCATGTGCAGTATATATGTATAGTTGTAAAGGTCGTGACATGTAGTTTAGAGGAAGAAGGACGAAATATAGGAAGAAATTGACTGACAAGTGAGAAGGGATAGACCCGTCTTGTCATAAGATAGGATTCTTATTAAAGGTCAAACAGTGAAGCTACTTCAAGACTAAGATCTGGTCAAGAGCGTCTGAATGGGCTCTAAATTAAGAGAAACTGATTGGCCAACCTTCAGCCGTAAAATGACTTTGAAACGAAGCAAGAAGCAAAGAGGAATTTTGTAAAGGTAGAAACGAAGCGGTATGATATGTGGAAGACGAAGGCGAATAGTTGTCATAAACATGGCGGTCCTTTGGTAAGGCACTGGTGTATGGTTTAGAATATACGTAACTCGAAAACATGCCTATTTTTGTGGAAAAAAAGAAGAAATTTGTGCATGTAGGAAGCAAGTCGTACTATATGTGGAAGGTGAAGGTGTCTTTTGTCAATAGAAATTGAAATGTGAATAAATAAATACGATTTCTCTGCAGCTATAAACCAAGTCGTAGAATATGAGGAGGATCGCACAAAGCGGTAGCATAGGTGTTCTGGTGGTCTAGCGGTAAGGCACCGGCGTTGTAAAGCCGGTTCGAGACTACAAAGATTTTTGTAATGAAATTTTTCTGGAATTATATAGCGAGATGTAACATAAGAGGAAGATTAAAGGTCAGAAATTCCGTGGCATTGGTGGCCTATTGGTAAAACACCGGCGTAGTGAAGAAAGGTTTCGAGCTTCGGAAGCAACGAAAGCTTCATGAAGTACAAATGGAGTTAATAAGATTTTTTTGTAATTATAACAGATGTAACATAAGAGGAAGATTAAAGGTCAGAAATTCCGTGGCATTGGTGGCCTATTGGTAAAACACCGGCGTAGTGAAGAAAGGTTTCGAGCTTCGGAAGCAACGAAAGCTTCATGAAGTACAAATGGAGTTAATAAGATTTTTTTGTAATTATAACAGATGTAACATAAGAGGAAGATAGAATATAAGAAATCTTCGTGGTATGGGTGGTCTAAGGGTAAGACTCCTGCGTAGTGAAGAGGCGTTCGAAGGTTCGAGACCAAGTATAGTTTTGTGACTTAGAAGGTAAGTTAATATGATTTTTCTGGACTTACAACCGAAGATGTAGCTTGAGAGAAATATTAAAGAAAACAAACTTTCTTGGAGCTGGTGGTCTTGGGGTAAGAGATCAACTTAGTGTTCAGAAGGTCCCTGGTTCAAAACCAGTAGGATTTTTGTGAAAAGTAGAATGGAAAGGAGTTAGGATATAGGATAAAGGAGGAGGGAGAGATAGAGGGAGGTACCGGGGTGAGGGAATATTTTTGCTTTTTGCGGCCGCTCATTAAAACTCTCTCCTAAGCGGGCATAGGCTTTCATTGAAAAAAAATTGCCCCACCTCCGCCCTCCAACAACCCGCCCTTAGGGGTCACTTCAAGTTATTCACTTGAGACCAAGCTAATTCAGCGAGAGTTAATAGAAAATATTTAAAACTGTGGCGCAATCCGTGGACTTAAACCTCAATTAGCCGGTGTTTACCAATAGGCCACCAATGCCACGGAATTTCTGACCTTTAATCTTCCTCTTATGTTACATCTGCTGTTGTAATTACAGAAAAATCTTATTAACTCCATTTGTATTTTATAAAACTTCCTCGGAACTTCTCAATACTAGGCCAGTGTCTTACCCATAGACCACCAACGCCACATAATGTTTATTTTTTAATCCTCTTATGTTACATCTCGCTATATAATTCCAGAAAAATTTCATTANGCTGGTTCCGATCCTCGGAACTTCTCAATACTAGGCCAGTGTCTTACCCATAGACCACCAACGCCACATAATATTGATTTCTTCAATCTTCCTCTTATGTTACACCTCGAGCCGAATTTCCAGAAAAAATCTTATTAATCCATTTGTTTTACAAAACTGCCTTTGGTCCAGAAACTCGGAACTTTTCCCTACACCGGTGCTTTACCAATAAGCCACCAATGTCACGGACATTTTTTACCTTTAATCTTCCTCTTATGTTACATGTCGCTATATAATTCCAGAAAAATATTATTACATAAATCGTGGTGCATACAAACC